ATCATTTTAAATCATATTTAGTAAATGATTCTTGTGGTCATATTAATGAAAAATCATAACATGGATGAATAGATTAATGGTTCAGTGTTATAGATTCTTGATATATGTTTATTGATATATGAGCATTCAGAATATGGCTTATACATGCAAAAATCAAAGTACCTTGCGTTCAGTCTACGCAGATTGGCTGCTGGCAAATACTGGATGTCATATTGTATTTCAGAGAACCTTACATATTTAAAACAAAAACTTAAAATAAAATATGAAATTTGTCAACTCAGTAAAATATTCCGGATTAAATTACGGTAAGAAGTACCGGCACTCAGCATGCTGGAACTTTTTAAAAAATTTATTTTTATCGGAACATGCTACAAAACGAACAATTCGATATGACGTAATTTTTACAGTGAAATCACTGAATAATTCCAATTAAATAAATATTACTGTAAAAACTGTGGTAAAATATTTCGTGCAAAAGTGAGTTTTAAGGTAAAAGGGATTTTAGGGATAATGCAAAAAAAAACTTTAATTCTTTATTTTGACCCGGAGTATTTTACAGTACAGACTGTAAAAGGTGTCAACTAAACTTCACTTACTAGACCCTGACAGATAACAAAAAAAAAAGCTTGTAAATTGTCACAAAGAAAAACTTAAAGCCTTATTGTACATGTAAGATCTTGATAAGTAAAAAAACATGGAAGTGCAAAGGAAACATGCAACGTGGCTGACAACAATAGGTGTAAGCTACATAATATTTGTAAGGAATATTAAAAACATATTTAAAATACGGATTTAGAAACAAGATAAGTTTCTATATCCATTATACATACGTTTTATTTATACTCAAATAACAGCTTTTTTCATTCAGAGTTACCAAGAAAATCTCAATTACGCCATAAACTTCCATCCTTCCAATTTTTTTTTTATAAAAAGCAACTTTATTTCTATTTCATTTCCCAAATAAGCCAAACATTATATAATAAATTTCAATTTTCTTGCATTAAATATTCTGAATTTTTGATTATCTGCTTTCACGGAAGCTGAACATAATAAAATTTAGAGAATGTTTTTTTTTCTGTTGCATTAGTACTTAAAACACTATTGTTCTAAATTGGTTCAATGGAAGGAAAGAAAGTAATTTTTTTAATATGGGAAAGTAGAAAATTTTTAACTTGAAAATTGCCATTAACTTACTTTATATTGCATTTGAAAGAATAAAAGTCATACAAAATATTCTCTAAATCTTCTCAATGCATTATTTTAAAACTCTTTTTTTAAAAAAAAAGTCTCAAAGATATTCAATCAGAAATTAATATAGAAGAGAGAAAGAAACAAAATTCATACTAAAATCTAGCAAAAACTATGCAGGAAAGTGGGGTTGAAAAAAATCAAAATATATTTGATTGCTGGTAAAGAAAGTTGAGTATTAGACGGAAAGATCGAGTTCATCAGACAAGCCAAGCAATATTTGGATGTATTTTATGAGTAATTTTTTAGTTTTCTTTCATTAAATATTTGAAATTTTGATTAGCCACTTTCTCGCAAGACGAACATAATAAAATGTTGAGAATGTTTTTTTTTATCGTTACAATAGAGTGTAAAACACTATTGTTTTAAATTAGTTTATATGTTACCGGTAAAGTATGAAATCCGGCATTTTATACAATGCCTATAATTAGCCGGCAAAGCATGAAATGATTTATATTTCACACTTTTCCTAGGCATTCTAAAGAATGCCAAATAAGAAACCGGCAAAGTAAAAAATACATCTCCGATTCCAATTAAATTCCGTAATTCAAAATGTCATTCAAGCCTGACATGTTGTAACAAGTTGGTTAATTTCTCATTTTTTATATTAAAATTTTATATCCTTTAATAAGGTTATAAATTCCCTTAATTTCCCAAACTGATTTCGGCATACATATATTCTTGAGTCGCGAAGGCTCATGGGATAGAGCGTTCACCTTTCAATGAGGTGAACCGGGTTCGATCCCGGCGATGGCTGGTCGACACGAATTCCGCATCCGGTTTTGCAACGACTACAGTGCTGACGTGAAATATCCTCAGTGGTAGACGGACCAGTAATTTGAGTCCCCTTACCGGTAGGCTAACCGTGGGAGCCTAACGGTAAGGGGAATTTCTTGGTTTTCCTCTCCATGTAGCCCAAATGCTGGTTAGTTCCTTCAAGAAAGTCCTCCACGAAGACAAATTTCTCCCAATACTTGATCCAGTAGATTCCTTGTCTCCTGAATTGGGTTCAAAATTACAAGGCTACGGAGTTGAACATCAGTAGTCGTAAATCCAAAAATTGGGTCGACTTTTCAACGATGGTTATAAAATAAAGTACATGTATTCATAAATTAAAGTTATTTAAAGAAATAATAGCTTCTTAACTTCCATCATTTTTATATTTCATTTACTTTCAATAACTTTTGCTGTATTCTTTTATTTATTGAAATAACATTTGAAAATCTAAATTCAACTCATTAAACTTTACTTATGCAGTAGTCTTACACATTTTATTTACTTGCGAATAAACCATTTTCATTTCATTTCTTCTGAAATATCAAACACAATTATTACTGCAAAAAACTGATAAACTGTATTATGAATACTTTAATTTTTTTTTCCTATTTCCCACTCGAACGTTATTATCGAAAATCCTTATCAGCCACAATCCCCTTTTTTTTGCATTTTCCATAGAAAAGGAAGCGAAGGAGATGCTTAAAAACTCCTCCTCATCTTCTTTGTAACTTAGTCTGTGTATTTATAAACTATTACCTTTTGTTAAAAATGAAAGAAAAGTCTCCAACCCTTGAAAAATGTGAAGACAATTTCACTTATTTGAATTCTGCCAGATAAAAGTTATACATTAATGTTTGAAATACATCTTAAAGCATGTTATTTAAAAAGATGCTTGGTGTTTTCGTTTAATCAAATCGTAATAATTAGTTTTATTTTTTTTATTAGAATATGCTTATCCATATGAAACATTGGACAATTTTTTGTTAAAAACTGTTTTGTTATATTAATTTCTTTAAATGTACAAAAACGGAAGTTCGATGAAAATTTCTGACTTTGTTAAGATCAATTCATAACATGTTGTTATACAAAATAAATTAATAAGTAAAAAGCAAATTAATAAGTAATTAGGGAAAGAAATTTAAGTAATAAATAATTAGGTTTTAAGCAAATTTCACTTAACTTTAAAAAATGACCCCTCCCTTCCTCCAGAAATATGTGCCATAAAAAATAACACAGGCTAACTCTACTGGGTTTTGTCCATGGTAAAATTTTACCATACACTTTTGCCATAAACGTAAGGCAAAATTTTGCCATAAGTGTCTGGCAACTTTTTGCCACAGTAGTAAGAAAATTTATCCATACGTGTGTGGGGAAAATTTATGCTAAAATTTTACCATAGATAAAACCACTTTGGGATATCCTATGGTTTTTCTTATAAAGCATATGTTTTCATGAAATTATGGCATGCTAATGCATTTAATTAAATTCTTCCATAGGCTATGATAACATTTCCTATGGAGAAACATTTAACATCTATACGGAGAAATGTCTATACAGTACGGAAATTTTTTCATTTTCTTTCTCTGTAATGTTACAGTACAGCATGCTGTTTCTCATAAGTAAGCCTATGGATAACATTAAAAGGGGGGTGAGACGGCTAGTATGGTCTCTTGTCCGAGAGGTTATGAGTTTGTCTGGTGCATGCTAAATCAGTCGGAGTCACAAAGACCTCCAATATCTCATAATAAATCTATACCTCTGGGGGTACTGGATAAGAGATTGATCATGCTCTGATTCTGGTCAAAATTACGATCTGTGGATGGATGATGTGTAAATGCGCCCCACTTGTAAAACGGGGTGTAACGCATATATGTTGTCTCTGAATATCCTTAGGGATGTTTCCTAGACCATCACCAACAGCCTATTTTGCAGCTCTAGTGTGAAGAAAATAAATGTAGCAGTGCATTTAAAGTTTAAAGCACATAGACAGATTTCAATCGTTGAAAGCAATTCATTATCATTGACTCGTTCTTTTGCATGGAGCAAATCCTTAAACCTTAAATCAACTAAATAGGATTAAACTTTCAACTAAAATATGTTTAAACTTCAAAACAACAAAAATTGAGGTTTTTATTGAATTATTATGATAGAATCATCATCTTAAGTGAGATTTACATAATGAGCTAATGAATAATTTTTTATTATATGTAAAGAAAAAAATTCTACAAACACTTAGGAAACAAATAATTTTATTTAAATATCTGAAATTAATATACACTCACTGTATTTCAAATAAATCAGAAATATCTATTTATCTAATATACGATGCACATTTATAACAGTAGAACACATATTATTAACAAAACTTATAGAAATCATGTCAAATGTGTAAATAATGGAATACACATTACTATTGTAACGAATTATCAACGAAAATATTTCACTAGAGTAATTATGATGAATCCAGAAAAATACTTTACTAACAGAGGTATTAATTATTAGTTCAGCAAGACTTTTTATAAATTTATCCAAGAGTTATAAATAAATTTAAAATAAAAAATATTTTTGTAAGATATGTATGCAAACATCAGAATTTTTCGTTAAATGAGAGAATTTGATGTATCAATGAATATAATGAATTGATTTTGCATTAAAAAAATTGTTTTAAGAAAAACTGTGATATAAAATAAAAAAATATGCGATACATCTAACAGTTTATAGTGAAAATTAATGTTAATTGGCACTGATATATTTTATGTATCAATCTGGAATCATTAAATTTAATGATAATGTACGGATTGATAATAAATTTTAATTTAGTTAAACTTTCCTTTCTTATCCTTAAATCTTTGCTTTTAATTTTAACTTTACCTTAATTTATTTTATTTTTTTAGTAATTTTAATAACTCTAAAAAATAAATAATGTTTTATACAGTGTGTTTACTCTGATTTTGAAAGAAAAATCATTATACATCAAAGTTTCTTTAATTGTCCAAACATTAAAATATATACTAAAAAACATTTAATAATAGAAGACAGTTTTTTAAAATATTTACACTTAAATAATTTTTGATTACTTACATCAAAGTGCATTTTAGATACTGAAAGTACAAATTATATACACTTAATATAAATAATTATTAAAATATTAGCTGGAATAATATTTTTTTATTTTAAGCGTGGATATCCATCTCATGAATAATAATAACAATATGTAAATGGAAATGCATAAATAAATCATAATATATTTAACAATAAATTATTATATTACCAAACAACTAATCACCGAGCACATCAAAGTGTTTTTGGCATAAATCATCCAAATTTGGTAATTTTCTGAACCTTTTAAAATATTACACTATTAAAAATTTTATTGAAAATAAAATTTAATTTAAAATTTCATACAAGATGTTTCATTGGATTCAAATGTTAAGTGAAAGTGGAAATAGTGATTGTTAAATGCATTAAAACTCTCTTAATATGAAAGTTTAACCGCTTTCAGAACACTGGAATATTATAATTCAAGCAACTCTTCACTAAAGCTAAATATACAAATAATATGTGCTTTTGGACATTTAAAAATAACGTGTATAGAAACTACAGGAGTTCTATAAATTTAAACATTTTATCTACATTTTAACATGTACATTTCCATTTTTTATGTATGTTTTTACATATATGTTCTTACTTCTCATGGTTTCAGTATTATTTACAAGTACCGCAAAATTTCCCCTTTGCAGTTTTATTAATACTTATCCAGAATTTTTCAGTACAAACTTCCGAGCCTTTAGAAAATGTTTAAAAAAGGTAATAACGTTATTTAAGTTTCAGCAAATAACTAAAGTTAATGAATGTAAGCATAATACGAAAATTTATTTCACGTAGTATAAACTTTTAAATAATTTTAATAATTTTTAACTAAAAAAGGAGCTAACCTAGAACGTAAAGTGCAAATTATCATACGTAGTTCTATTAACGGAAAATTACTTTTTGTAGCACATCATTAGCATATTCAAATCAAATATAAAATACATACAAATAAGTATAATATTTAAATTAATATTATAGTACGCAAAGACATAAATTCGCGTTCCATGATTTGATTTAAAAAGTAATTTTAATTCAGTGCAAGAAAGCGTTCATTCTCTTTAAATAAACACAGAAATTTTGTAATAGAAAGCGCTTTTATCTAAGATTGTATAATAGTAGTGAACACCAGTGCTTCTTACTAGTATAAACTTTGATTATATTTTTCTGAACATAATCTGGTTAATCCTGAAGCTCTTCCACTTGTAGACAGGTTGATCGTAGCAAGGTTTTCCCCTCTCTTCCAGTAATAATATCACCTTCTGTTACATCAGCTTCGCAAATCTCAGGCTGAAAAAAATGAAGTTTTAGAAATGTTATATAGTTCAAGTTATTTTAAAAAATAGGTATGTACAGAAATGATGAAAAAAAGGCGCTTGAAAGCTAAACTATTGACAGGGTATAGAGCCGCAAGCGGAGGGGGTTGAAAATACATTTTAGCCCTGGAAAAACTTTTGATAGCAACTTCTGTTTTATCGTCATTCGTATATAAAAATTTAAAGTAAAGGAAAAGGAAATTCAGGTAGATTTGGAGTAAACTATAAAATTTAAAAAAATGCTTTTAAAAGATTTAAATGAGGCCGGGTGGGCAGGGAATGTGAATTCGAATCCAGCTACCCGATGACTCCCCGTGTATGGTGACTGGGTACTCGTTAAATATGTCGGGTAACAAAGACTTCCATGTCCCCATAACAAATTATACCTCTGGGTCACTGAATTGGAGATTGATTGTTCTTTGGTTCAGGTGATAATTACGATCTGTGGATAAAGGAGGGGATATATGAATGGGTCCTCCCTATAAGCAGGTACGATGTATGGGTGTGTCAGAAGTCGAATTCTTAGCTATAGATGGTGCCACTGGTCAACAAGAAAAACCACACACCCCTTGCTTTGATGACGTATGAACAACAATGAACAACCGTAAAATATGGTTAGGAAATTTTTGTTAAACAAAACTCCCATGATCCTGGTTAATAAAACCAAAATAAATGGTATTTTACTAATTCATTTGGTAATTTTTCTATTTATATGGTAACGGTTTACGGTAAATTCTGTTCTTCGAAATTATAAATCATATTACCACACATAAAGTAAAAAGTACAAAAATAAGGAAGTAAATTTAACCGAATAAATGGTCACCATGTCATATTTGAAGGAATCATTACAAAATCACTTAATTTTACCTTATTTACCAAATCTTATCACACATTATTAAAACATGTTTTATTGATAATTTTATCAAAATCAAGCCAAAGCACTTCAATAAAAATTACCGAGTATTTTTTTCGTCCCAATAGAGCCAGAACAACGATTAATTTGACTATATTCTTGCAGTTAAGGTCATATTTTTTTTAAGTGCGTATACTTTAGTAATCTTGCCATAGTGCATTTACATTTTAAAATTTTGAAAGCATTTTTCAGCTTTTTACTCTATCTTTACCTGAACTATTTTTTTTAATACTTCAAACATTGAACTACTTATGCAGGTGAAAGAGAATTTGCTTTAAAATAATTCTCCCGCGCTACAGTGTCCTCTTCAAGCAAAATGCATAGATGAAGCTGGAATTTCTATTCAAGTGCTTCTCCCGCGGTATAGCTTCCTCTTTAAGCAAAATGCACAGATGATACTGGTAGCAGGCAAACTATAGAAGATAGTTTCCGTTTTTTTAATTAAAAAACGGAATCATTGCTGTCATTAAAACCGAGAAGACATTGAAAGTGTCATTCAAAGGAGATAATTTCAATATGCCTTATTCCCATGGAAGAAATGATTGCAGTATATCATCGCTTGTTGTCGGTGAGAGGTACCGAAACAACTTGAAACGCACCAATTGCCACTGAATAGCCAAGTTCAGCAGATGATTGAAAGAATGGTTAAGTAAGTCAGCATTTTGTAAAAACTATGGTGTTTTATTTCCCCGAATATAATGTTAAACAAAACAAAGAATTATATGATGAAACACTTTTTTTTATTTTATTTTATGTCAAGTTAACTCCAAATCAAGCATTCATATTCACTTTAAAGGTAGAATTAATATTTAAATACCAGTAATTAATAACGCTTGCGCCTAACTCATGCGCATTCACACCATTCGTGAATTATTTTAGTTTGGCGTGTTGGCGTGCTTAGGTTATCACCATTTCTTTTTAAAAAATTTTTTTGTTTCTGTAAAAGGAATTAAGTATGAGTTAGCATGAGTTTGTTGCTGTCTTAGACGCTGCTGTATATGTTATTGGAACAATATTTTGTCGTTAAAAATGTATAAAAGTTTTTTAGAGGTAAAGATAATTATATTTTAATATTTAAATATCTGAGTAGGATTAAGAGATGCAACCATAATGCGTTTGATCTCGGTGAATTGGAATATAACATTCAAAAGATTCAGGAAAAGATAAAGTATATTAAATGAAAACGTCATCTGTTAACATGCATGATGGAGTTTGGTGGGGCAATGGGAATGAATAGTATAACACTCTGAAATGTTATGCGAAAGCCCTCCAAGAGGAGTGACGAAAGTGCACTTATTTGACCCGGAATTACATCAGTTTTTTATTCATAAATAGTAATTCATTCTGGGTCACTCATTCTTATATGACACTATGTCACTACAGTCCCTGGCCAAGTTATTAGACGCACTATAAGATTATTTGTAAAATATTAATTATCAGGTGATACTATACAGCTTTATTGTATTAACGCGACTGAAACCGGTTTGTACTTGTTTACATTCGTGTATCATTTGATTAAATTAGACGATATATAATATAAATTCGATGTTTAAATAAATTCGACGATATGTTATGTAAATATAGAATATTGCTGTTGTAGTTTCTAATGCCACTTGCCACACGGGCAAGCCTGCTTGATGAAACCGAGCAAATGTAAGGCAGAGTGTGCGTTTCCTGTTTTTCAGTGGCGCCATTCTATGGCCAAGAATTCGTCTTCAGTCACATACACGTCACAGCCCGTTTTATAGGGCGGACCCATTCGTACATTCATTCATTCCTCCACAGATCGTAACTTTGACCTGAATCAGAGAACGATCGATCTCCAATCCAGTACCCCCAGAGGTATTGATTTGTTATGGGAACATGGAGAACTTTGCGACTCGACATATTTAAAGTGCATCAGTCACCATTTACTACACGGGGAGTCTTCGACCATCGGGGTTCGAACCCACGAACTCTCGGACATGGGTCCAGCTCCCCACCGACCAGGCCATCCCGGCCTTTATATAGAATATTTATTGTATCAAGTATTATATTATTCAGTTATAACAATTAGACGTACTGTCGATTTTTCATAATTATATGTTTTGCACTAGTTTATATACAATATTTTTATATTTAAATATACATGTAGTGGGTTTTTAGTCTGAAGATTTTTCATATACCCCCTACTTGTATTTATTTTTAACGTATTTCATTACAATGTTAACCAATTGATACACGAACGTAAATAAGTTCAAACTGGTTTCAGCTACGTTAAAACAATAAAGTTGTGTAGTACCACCTGATTAGTAAGATTTTACATAGAATCCTATAGTGCGTCTAATAATTTGGCCAGAAAATATATAATGTATTTTTTTTACTATCCACTTTTACTTCGGCTGTTTAAAAAATGAAATGGAATTAGAAAACAACAATATAATTCATTCGGTTTGATACTTTTATTTAAAATTATCTAAACTTGCCCTAGCCATTAATTATCTGGTATCTTTTACAGAAATATAAATGTTTCCTAAAAGGAATCAATTAATAAAAAACATTTAATAANCCCTTTTTCAATTTGAGAAATGTTTTGCAATCCCTTTCTAGAAATATTACTTACTAAACTCCAACGATTAAATGATGTAAGCTTTGATGGTGCTCGAGGTAATTTAACAATAATTTATCTTTTTTTTAAAAAAAACTTATTATATTTCTAGAAATAACACAATTTCTAAAACTAAAAAAAATAAAGAAATAAACACTTATGCTTTTCTTCGTTAAAGAATTTTGAAACATATAAAAAGGTATAACTTTTTTTCTTATTAACCCTTCTTTGCATGATGGTGGAAAGTTCCATCATAAAATTTAGTAAACAAAAAGTTGCACTTAAAACAAGTGTACTGTAATTTGGTTGTTGCTGTCAACTGTTTTTTACGACAACTGCCTAATAAGATTGTCAAAAAAAGTCAAATGTCACAATCATTATTGCTGGTTTGAACTTGTCATTCCGCTGTTTGTCGTGGTTGGAAGAAACGTGCTATTTCTTGAATATTTTTCTAAATTTAATCTGAGAATTTCTGCTAATAAAAGCGTTAATGAGTGGGAAAAAAGTTTTTTTTTTGTGTTTCTTTAAGTCTTTGTGAAATTTATATCAAATACCCCAAATAATCATCCCAAAACCATTTGACAGATCAATATGTATGCAGTAGTTTTATTTTAATGTATGAAGAAAATGATTTTTTTAATTATATAGTTATTTTATGATATTTTTGAAGAAAGAATTCAAAGAGAGGGTCATTGAAGATTATTTTGATCAGCTAGAAGGCGGTTGGCTACCAAAAGATGACATTGATGATAAAAACTCTCACAACGAGTACCTTGATGCAGATGAAATTAGAAGTGTTTCGAATGGAGAATTGTTTTTTTTTTATTTTTGTTTAATTAAAATCAGGAATAAAAATGATAAAAAGATATTTTTTTATTTATTTCGTACTGAGCTTAATATGTAAATTTGTATGATGATGGATATTTACATCATACTGTTTTTTAATTATTTTATATTACGTACTAGGATTCTTAAAAAAAAATTTCCTTTAATCTAGGAGATGGATTATATCTCCCTGATTCATTTCACAAAAAAAGAAGAAGAAAAAACAATGTAAGAAAGGTTTTACTATTTTATTAATTTTATTAATTTTTAATTTTTTAAAGATTATCGTAAAGGTTTTATACATGAAAAGAAAACACTATTTGATGCATATGCAAAATAGGGTAAAAAAATTTATTCAGCTTGTGTAGTTATTAAATTAAGAATGCTTAGTTACACTTTGGAAACAAAAAGAAAAGTTGAATTCGCTTTACTTAGTGAATTTTCAATTGATTCTCAATGTAGTGTTTAATAACTTGAAATAAATAATTTTAGTTTACACTTAAGTGTAAAATAAATAATTGTTTATTTTTTTATTTTTTATTTTTTTTGTTGTTTTTTTATTTATTTAAACGACTTAAAATTCATCATGCACCACAAAGTATAGCATGAGGCTTACAGTTGTAAGTAGAAAACAAAAGGAGAAAAATTTACAAATTTACATTAAGAACAAAATTCCGCAAGGCAGCAAGACTTTCAATACTTTTGACCAGTTCTGATAAGACAGGTGGCCAACAAATAGAAAGACGTCTCAAATCAGTCTTTAAATTCATTCGGGCACTCGCATACAGACTACAGTGAAGAAGAATATGTTCAGCATCTTCATCATCATAATTGCTTATTGTAAAATAATTTTCTTTTAGTAAGAACAGTTGTTTACGTGTCTGGAATCAATTTAAAGACTTGTTACCGGGTTAACCTAATAACTGGAGCTCAAGCAAGACAGTATGAAAATATATTAAACATGAAATAATATCATTATTAAGAATTGGAAGTTGTTACAATTTTTAAATAATATCCAAACTTTTACTTCAATTTTTTTTTAAGTGTTTAGCGTCATTTATACAAAAAACTAGTCCTCAAATAATAAAAAGCTTCTGTTTTCGGAAAAGTAAGTTCTAAAAATTAGAAAGTAAATTAGTAGTACTTACATTTGCAGAAAAAAAGGAAAAGAGTAAATTTTCTGTACGATGAAAAATTTTAATTAATTTTAAAAAAAGGAAAGCAGCCAGATTTGAAACAATAATTTATGGGAAAAGCAATTTTTAATTAAAATTACGATATAGTTCTATATATTGTTAGTCATTATAGGATAAATAAATATATTTCATAAAACATTTTGTAAAATTAGGAAAATTTAGATTTTCTACCGATAGAAAATAAAATATATACCATGAACAAAATATATTAATTGAAAAATCTAAAACACTTCCATTTGCTCAAATGCGTCCGCAAGCATAGTTTATTAGCTAAATTAAATTTGAAGAAAAAAGCCTGAATAAATAAATTGACACAATCAAGCCTCCTGAAAAAAAGGACAAAAAGAAGCCAAGTAATCGAGTTTAGTCGCCAAGTAATTCCATTAAATTTATGAACCTTACAACCGAAGATAAGAGTACGTCTTGTCACACAACTTATATTCTATTTCTCAATTAATTATACGGTTTCATGAAAAAAAGAGCTTTTAAAATGAGCTTAAGTTCATTAAAGGATGGGGAAATTTATTCTGCTGTAAAATGTATGTATTTAAATCTTTAGAGAAATATAAAGATAATTCACTTTTTTTAAGTTATATTTAAAATTTACAGGAATTTTCAGTACTGCAAAAGAGTTTAAAACTACTATACCAAAACTCAAGAACTTCATTAATTATAAATTATTAAGTATTAAGTATAAATTATTAATTACTAATTATAAACTTTTAATTAATAGTTATTAATTATTAAATATTACGTATAAATTATTAATTATGAACTATAACTTATAAAATATTAATTAAAAATAATTTTGATGTGTATGTTTTATGAGAGTTTCTTTTCAAACTTTTAGTTTAACTGTAGTTCAATTTTCAAGAATCGTTTCATTGTGGATAATAAAAGTAGCTAAAATTATTTATTTGTTAATAATTCCGTGTTTTAGGAAGATCTAAATAAGTTGAAACCTTAAGGTTTAAGCGACTGTACACGAAAAAATTTGTAAAACTAATTTTTACCGTTAAATATTACAACGTAATTTCAAGAGTAATATTTATTTATTTAGAGTGATTCAGTATTTTTCAGGTATTCTTTAAAAATTACTATATATCAGATTCTTTGTTACAGGATTTTATGGAAAAAGGTACCGGTAACTTGATTGTCACCAAATCTCCTTATTATAAAATATTTTATTTTATAACTGGCGATGAACAGTCTTCGTGGAAGCCTTTTAGATGGAACTTACCCCCTATTTGCATAACATTTAAAGGAAAACTACGAAAACCTCCCATGGTTAGCCAGGTGGCAAGGAGATTCTAGCCCTTCATCCATATGCCGTCGAGAATATTTTACGTTATCACCGTGGTTGCTGCAAGCCGAGAGTGGAATTCCTAACAAACAGCCAACTGATGTGATTCAAACATGTTTTTTTTGGAAGGGGGGGGGGAGGAGTTGTAGTTCACGAACTGGTTGTCGAAGGTATTTTTAATGCAGACAGTTAGGTTCGTCTTATCTTTGAGCGTACTTACTGCAAACTTCTTGCTGATGACTGTTTCAGAATTTGTATAAAGCAAACATACACACACATACATTTAAGCATTCTTCCTTATTTATACATCATGGTCAGTTTAACGCCATAGTATTTTACACTAACGTGCTTAAGATGCTTATAAAAGCTGTCTAAAGCTTTAAAATATTTTAGTCTTTTTTGCAGAAATAAAAAGTTTTTTAGACCTACATTTAAGTGTTTTAGACCTACATTGTTTATTTCCTATAAAAATTATGCATCTGAAACAAAGATGAATAACAGCTTTTAACCATTTTCCAATAACGAGGTAAATCTTTTAGCTTTGAACAAGTACCAACTTCATCATACACTTTTAAACTTAAAGGGAAAACCAAAAACTCTTTCAACAACCAGTTGTTGGTGTAGAGGGAAATATAAGTAAGGCACTACAAATTTGCATCTCCTAACACAATGACAGCTTAGTGCTTTAACCATCATGCCATCACGGCTCACAGTTAAAGAATTAAAGATTCTAAAACAACGTTTATCTTGAAACTCATATAAATATCCAATGTATGTATCATTCATATAGTTATACCAATTTAAAATAACTTACGTGCATGTTGGTCATTGTTGAGTTTTGTTTCAAACATTCTTCTCTATTTTTAATTTGAGGCTGAACTTTCAGAGTGATGCTGTATTTTGTTGACTTTCCAACCTAAACAAAAGTAAAAAAATATAGCATCTCATTAGTTAAAAAGTATAATATAAATATATATATATATACACACACACACACACATATATATATATATATATATAACCGTTCATCATAAAACTGCTTAAATTATGCAAATTTTATGTAAAAAAAGTAAGTCATACTAACATAAACATCCATTCAGATTCATAAATCAAAATTGTTTTTCCGTACTTTTGCAAATTGGTTCTCTTTATGATTTTAATTTTTTTTTATACATTTAAATTTTTTTAAAAATTTTTTATAATTTTTTTAACTAAATGCATTCGAGAAATACTTACGCATTCATTTGAACGACTTGGATTGTTCATAGCCTAAGCATGTTTATTTTTTTTTTAATTATTTAAGTATGCACACATTAATTTTTGCTTTCTTCAAATATACACTGTTAAAAATTTCGGATAAAATTATGGTTAATATTACTGGCAAACAGGGATATTCATCCATAAAAACCATTCTATATAAAATCTTTATAAAATTTTTTACAGTAATATTTATTTAATTGCAAAGACATAATGATATTGATTTTGAAATAAATATTACCTAAGAAAGTTACGGTATACCTGATACTGTATTTTAAGGTGAAAAAGTACAGTAAACGAGTATCACAAGGAAAAAGTACTGACACTCTGAATTCTAGTACATTTTACTGTAATTTGATCCAGATTTTTTCACAACATGCATTTCTTAACAAAAATAACATTCAAATTACGTTGATAATGTAATTATTAATTATAAAATTATTAATTATTCAAGCATTCAAAATTCCAATATTAATTTGTCAATTAATAATTAGTCAATCATTCATTAATAATTATTTTTTTTTAATTTTTGATTTTTCAATTATTACTTAAACAATTATAATATATTCAAATATTAATTATCCAATTAATACTTGTGAAAGCAATTAAAGTCTCTTCGAAATGACACGTAATTCGCCAAGAAACATTATAGTGCTTTACGACACTCGAATTAAACTCAAAAGTCTACAAAATACGGTAAAAAAAATGTAATTTTAATATTCTGTCTTCTTGGAGGAATCTCATTCCAGCTTGAGAGAAACTTTTAGTCACGCTCGAAAAGACTGTAATAGAAATGTAAAATAACTGTTTCATAAGAATGTACTGAAAAAATAAATCTCATTTTACGGCGGAAACTTTACCCGGAAAGTTTACCCTTAACGTCACTCACTTTCCCGGATGAAAAAAGGCAGAAAATTTACGAGCCAAGCCTTCTCTGTATATTTTCGCCCCTAAAAATAATGGGCAAACTCTCCAACTAACGTGCGTAAAAGGGCTATTTTATACCAAGAAGTATCGTAACACTTTGATGAGGAAAGTGGAATGCTGGTTAAAAGAGTTCTGGCCAACCAAAAAGATTACTTGGATATTTTCGAATTAGTGTCATATTAAAGGTGAAGCTTAATGGCAATTTTTTTTCTTTGCTTTAATATGCGAAGTTTCGGTTTAATTTTGATTGAAATGAGGGAGTCTCAATTATAATTTTGCTTCGAAAATCCTTGAAATACAAACTTGAGTTATTTTCAGTCTCTAGATAAATAAGGATTCTGCTCCACTTTTATTAAAAAAAGTATTTTATTTTTTTCATCTTTAAGGAACACTGATAAAGGTACAAAACAAAATTTAAATTAATTACCAATAATAATTTTGTACCCTATAGTTTAAAATGCCTTTAAAATGCAAATCTACAGTCAAAAATAATTATTTCTTCCTAATATAGTATAATGAGTCCATTTAATTTACTCTACTAAATCACCCCCCCCCCCCCCAAAAAAANCTCCCCAAAAAAAAAGAATTGAATACTAGGTTATGATTGTTCTATAAAAATATCTCCGGAATCAACAGAAATACTTGTGAATACAACCTGTAAAAATTCACGATCAAATCAGAATGAAAAGTATTGGCACTCATTGAAACGGTACTTTTTACATTTACATTCATATTTACCGGACCATCTTACGGAACAAAAAATCTGATATACCGTAATTTTTACGCTAATAATTTCCGTAAAATCATTAAATGCTCTTAATAAATAAATATTACTGTATAAAATACGGTATAATATTTTACGGCAAAAATGGATTCAACGGAAAAATTGAGATTACGGATGATGTACCCAAAGTGCCGATACTTTAGATTGTAATTTGATCCAGAATTATTTGCACGTATAAGATGTTCTAACTTTCACTTACATGTAGGAACTACTATGCACACGTTTGTGCATCTTATTTTTAATTTGATATTTGTTGTGTGAGGATTTAATTATCGACTATGCAAACCTTCATCTATCAAAAAGTATCTCAAGATAGAGTCTAGTTAACATGTCTTATATACTATTGATTCGGTATTTAAAATTCATAGTGGTAGTTACGCCACAATACTTCCAGAATTTTATTTGGGATAGAATTCGATGAACGGATACCCCTAGTTGAATCATGCTGTTTATTTATTCATAACATTTTTGCTCATTATTTTTTTTTTCATTTTATTTGTTTATAGCATTTTGCTCAATTTTTTTTCTACATTGTTTATTACCGAGAGACTTTATTTACTTCACCGGATCTTTTTTTTTTCTTTGAGCTGTTTATATTAAGCAAATCAACTGTTTAATGTGGACAATCCATCATGATAGCGAGTGCACATCACGTCCGCAGGTCACCATTGTGGGGATTTAATTATCGACTATGTCATCCTTCATCTATCAAAAGGTACCTCAAGATACAATCTAGTTAACATGTCTTATGTACTAGGGATTCGGTATTTAATATTCATAGTGGTAGTTACGCTGCAGTTAGACTTGTTAAATAAAATCAATATTGTACTGAAATTAGTATTTGTGAGACCTTTTAGGGTTAATTGAAAATAAATGTATCTCGCAGGAGTACCGGCTTCCCTCGAGTCAGTACTTTTTAAAATATTTTGATCCAGAAATTTCTATAGTGTATATTCAAAACATTATCTTCGCGCCATATTTATCTTTTAATATCAGATTCATTTGTAATGAATGTAGTATTGCAGTTAGAGGTCCCGGCATAAATGTGACAAATATATATTTTGCTTATTAGAAGATCACATGCTTACTCTTCAAAATCCTACAAATTATTTATTACTCATGCTTACTGAGCTGTACCTCAAGTTCTGAAAATTTTTAATCTGCTGTCGAGTATTGCAATCCACAATATTTTAAATATTTTAAAATACCATTGAACTAACAGTAATATAATCTTATGTAAAAGAGGGTTTTTGTTGCTTTATGTTGAGTGATCATTATTGCGGATATAAGTGAATTATAGGAAAATAAAAAAGCTATTGAAAAAACACGAATTATCTTATAAAATGTGATTAAACAAGTAATTCGCACAAGTCTTAATTCTGAATTTTTTTTTAAATTAAAGGAATCTAATTCTGATACCAACAATATGCTCCGTAAATTTACACTGTGAAATATTTCGGATCTAATTATGGTAAGAAGTACCGGTACCCTGGATACANAATATTTTTTATTTCCAAATGGAATTAATCTTCGCTGAATAAACCAATGTAATTTACTCTACTAAATTAAAAATAGCCCCCCCCCCTCAAAAAAAAAAAATACTTGAATACTAGGTTATGATTGTTCGATAATAATATCTCCGAAACCAAGAAATACTTGTGAATGCACCCTGTAAAAAATTCAGGATCAAATCACAACGAAGAGTATTGACACTCCGGGCAACGGTATTTTTTACATTAACATTCATTTTTACCGGAACATCTTACGGAACAAAAAAAATGTCATATACCGTAATTTTTACGCTAATAATTTCCGTAAAATACCTAAATACTCTAATCAAATAAATATTACTGTGAAAAATACGGTATAATATTTTACGGCAAAAATGGATTCAACGGAAAAATTGAGATTACGGATGATGCACCCAAAGTGCCGATACTTCAGATTGTAATTAGATCCGGAATTATTTACACGTATAAGATATTCTAACCTTCACTTACCTGTATGAACTACGATGCACGCGTTTCTGCATCTTATTTTTATTTTGATATTTGTTACACTTGTTAAATAAAATCAATATTGTACTGAAATTAGTATCTGTGAGAACTTTTAGAGTTAATTGTAATTAAATGCTACGTATCTTGCAGGAGGAGCCAGTACTTTTTAAAAAAATTTTTCCAGAATTTTTTATAGTGTATATTCAAAACATTATCTTCACACCATATTTATCTTTTAATATCTGATTCATTTGCAATGAATGTAGTATTGCAGCCAGTATCCAGGCATAAATGTAAGAAATATATATTTCGCTTATTAGAAGAACGCATGCTTACTCTTCAAAATCCTACAAATTATTTATTACTCTTGCTTACTGAGCTGCACTTCAAAGTCTTAAAATTTTTTATCTGCGGTCGAGTATTACAATCCGCAATATTTTAAATATTTTAAAATACCATTGAACTAACAGTAATATAATCTTATGTAAAAGAGGGTTTTTGTTGCTTTATGTTGAGTGATCATTATTGCGGATATAAGTGAATTATAGGAAAATAAAAAAGCTATTGAAAAAACACGAATTATCTTATAAAATGTGATTAAACAAGTAATTCGCACAAGTCTTAATTCTGAATTTTTTTTAAATTAAAAGAATCTAATGCTGATACCAACAATCTGCTCCGTAAATTTACACTGTGAAATATTTCGGATCTAATTATGGTAAGAAGTACCGGTACCCTGGATACATCATGCGTAAAACTAATTTAACCATAAGATTTACTTTTACCATAAAATTGTATTCTATATATGTTATAGAAGTAATTGTTTAGCTACTGTGATTGTACAATAAATTATGGTCTGTCAAATGTTTTGTCCCTTGAAATTTAGTAAAATGTATCAGGCTGTACATTTTACCGTAATTTGATGCAGAATTTTTTAACAGTAAAACACAT